AAAATTTTTGTCCAGATTGCAGATTGCAGGGAAGCGAAGGCGATCTCGACACATTCCTCATCAAAATGGCTTCCTGGCCTTGACGACCTTATCCCACTTCTGGCTGTCTCCACTGTCCAGCTCCTCTAGGTGGCAAAGGTTGCTATTTCTTTTTTAAGCCATCAAGCACACACAATGAAGGTAAGTGAATGCTTCCACCAGACTCCTGAAAATGAAGTTCCCTTTGGACCTTAAATTCGTCCCACTTTTATGACTACTTTTATTATCACCTCATTTGGTTAACCGACAGTCAAAGTTAATTAAGAAACGTGACATACCGCCCGAAGAGGAGAGGAAAAAGTGTTTTTAAGGAAAGAACCAGTCATGACATCTGGATTGAAAAGAAGGCAGCCAAATGTGTCCTCTCTCTAGTCTCCCTGATAGCTCAACTCTCCAGCCAAGTGTTTCATTGTCGCCTCAACCCTTTCACGCAAAGCCATTGACTCTAGCAAAATCTGTCGCATCTCCTGTTCCAACTAGAATGGAGAGAAACAAAAAAAGACAAGAAAAGCAAAAAGAGGCTTTTAACTTGTCCCAATAAAATTAACCAATAGGAGGCATGAAAGTCTGTCCAGGTCACTGACCTCATGAATGCGCTGATTGGCTGCTGCCTGAGTCTCGAGGAGCCTTTGATTTGCCTCTCTTTCTTGTTCATTCAAGGCGATCTCCATACTTTCCAGCCTATTTTGGCAACTTCTTTCCACCTCCTTCATTTCCTCTGCCATTTTTCTTGATAGGCAAAATAATTATTTATACAAGAGAAAGGGAAAGGAGAGCCCTCCCGAGGGAGAGATCGAATCACCTCATTTTGCCGACTGCCACGTCTCGCTCCTTTTCAGCCTGAGAGCAACGTCTTAACCAGTCACCCTCCTTGCAGCAAAATCCTTCCTTTATGCAGTTAATCTCTTCTTGATGAGCCAGTATTTCGTCTTTTAGGCAACTGGAAAAGCTCAAGAGTTAGCAAACTTAAGGAGAGGAGTGGGAAAGAGGATTAAGAATTGATGTCACGTGATCGCCCTAGTCTACACTTCATCAACTTTAGATACACTTTTAGACCCACCTATTTTCACTTTGTACCTGGAGAAGGAGGCTCTTCAATTCATCTTTCCGATCAGTTAAGTGATCAACCGCAGACTATGAAAAGACAAAAGAGACAATAAGCTTAAAGGCTTAGTGTAAGCCTAAAATCATGCCAAATAATGGCGATTACCTGCAACTTTTTGTTTTGCTCCTCAACTTTCGTCATTTCCTTGCTTCTGTCCCGTTCGGCATTGAGATCCTGAGGCATAAACAAGACGACCAATGATTACCCCAATCTGATACAACCCGAGGTAGTAAAGAAGAAAAAACTTACGGACTTTAAACGCTTTATCGTATCCAGTTGGTCGTCAAGTTGTATTGTTTTGATTCGCACGCTTTCTTCCGCCGACTAAAGCGTAAAGAGGTAAACGCGAGGGCAACAAGGTAAGTCAAGTAAGCAAGGAGAGATAGTAGGGCACACATTAGAGGTAGGCATCTACTAACCTTTAATTTTGTTGTTAGTTCATTTAATTCACTGCATAAGGTGGAATTGTTACTTGACACCTCACCTAAACTTAAAAATAAATTGCTACTGAGATGATATAAGTAAAAGCAATTGTTATTTTGTGATTACCTTGTAATTTTTGGAGTTTTTCGTTTTCCTCCTTCAGACGTGCAATGAGGTCACTTCGATCACAGCACAGCTTAAATGCGAAAATAACGTCGGCATTTTAGATTAAACCTGTTCTACCTTGTACGTTTCCAAAATCCGACATTTTTCTGCTTTCTCCACAGAGAGTTGCATGGTCAGTTGCTTGATTGTCTACAAGAAATTGCAAGTCTCCACCACATGCCTACATGAATGAAGGAAATTGAAAGAACTCCGCTCACACCTTGTTCATTTCCGCAAGAAGCTCTTTAGCGCCTGAAAGGCTTTGATCAGAGCTACACAACTTCGTCCGTTGTTCCTCGATAGTCTCCACCATTAAAATGAGGACGGAAAAGAAAACAAATAAAATTATTAATATGGAATCGAGAAAACACTCGCTTTTAGGGTAAGGCTTGTGTACTTCAGCTCTGGATTCATCAATTCCCCAGCCCCAGTACTCAAACCACAGGGACGTCAAAGGGAGTCAAGACTGCAAGGCGTGTGTCGGAGTGAGAAACGAGATCCAGTCTCCCCTGCCTGTGGCACTTAAGTCCCCTCAGCAATATTGCAACTGCCAGCACGTTTTGAGTCAGAAGTCCGAACAGCAGTGGGGATCCGAATCCCTAACACATAAGTTACTCATGCAAGACGTTTTGCCTCTAGGGGCTGATGGACTCAAGTTTGGAGACGGCTTTGGCGTCCTGACAAATAGTTTCCAACTGAAGCTGTCATCGTCTCTGTGTTCAGGTGACAGTAGACCAATGAGGGGATACATCACCGTAACTCCACCCAAATTCCACTCCAAGTCGGCGATGCATATTCGCATCCAGCCTTCAAAGAAATTCTCAAGCCTCCACGTTGAAAGCCGCTGGAAAACGAGGCTGACTGGCAACACCAGCAGCACTTTAACGCCTGATGATAGCGAAGACGGCACTTAAAAGCGGAGACGAGCTATAAAACGTACTTGAGCGCTCCGCTCTTGCATCAGATCTCAAGACCTGCTGTCCATCAACAACCCATACCTCAGGAAGTTGTATCAAATATTTAGCGTCGATGGTTGAAGTTCTCACCTTCTTCAAACTATGGACTAAGGCTGTTGCTAAATTCAAATTTTCCCTTGTAGCGTGGAGCTCCTCCCCTTGTTCTTGTAGCGCCTTCTCCGCCGTCGTAGCCCGTTTAAAAAGCTAAAAGTAAAAGCTATACTTTCTATACTGCATTGACGAAGGGAATCAGTCCTCAGAGGACTCACCTGGTTGTAGCGCTGGCCTTCGGAGTAGAGAGCGAAACGAAATTCAGCTTCCAACTGCGAGTACCTCTCTCGAGCAGCTTCCAGTCTGCAAATTTGGAACAAAGGTTGGTTCTTGGATCAACAAACCCACTCAACCATCCACTCCTGATTCGGTCTGGATGCTTCAGTCAAGGAGGGGTGGTTAGATGACTAAGAATGAAATGCACTGCTCGCTCCTACGATCCGGTAAGGAAGGTGTGACAACTCACTCGCCATTAGCCTGTCTTCGTACCTCCTTACAGACTCGTGCGATTTGATCTTGGACTGCTTTCTTCACATTTTGCTTTTCTGCCTTCAATAGGACCTTCTTCAACTAAAAGGGGAAACTTCTTTACAGGATTCTTGAGAGAACATCTCTCTCCTCCGTCCTCATTTTGATGAACAAAAACTCACCGTGGTTTCGCGATTAACTGCTTCTACCTCCAGGCGAGTTATTGCTTCAATGACTAGAGTGACCACATCGTCGAAGCCCTGACTGCTGTCGTGCACCTGCCTCTTAAAACAATTCAACAAGACGATTGGACTCAGGTTGGTAGGAAAGGTTACGTAAAGTGAAAGAACGGCGCTTCATTTCCCAAATCCATGGTGAATGTACTTA